GAGAGATGGCTCAGTGGTCTAAAGCACCTACTTGGAACAAGCTTGGCAAAGCACAGGGACCACGGTTCGATCCCCCAGCACCACCTGCCAGCCAGCCCTGCCCCCTGGTGGGCTGAGCTGGCCACACACACACACACACACACACACACAATAAATAAATATAAATAAAAAAAAATTTAAGAACAACAAAAACCCAATATATGCTTGCTTATAAGGAAATTATAAATCAATAAGAAGATACTAAGATGTGAAAGTAAGTATTCTGTAATCCCTAAGGCCTACCAGCAGACTAAAGCATCTGCTTAGGCAGAGCGCAGCAGCAGGGTCCTGCCCCAGTCCCCCGGAGCGCACTGAGACTGCGATTGAGACTGGGTGTGGTGCACTTGGGAGGCTGAAAACAGGAGAATCACTGTGAGTTCAGTCTGTGTAGTGAGGTCCTATAGACCCATACTAAATACATTGTTAAAAAAGTATTCTATTATCCCTAGTACTGCCAAAAACAAGTTGATATGGAGTGGATTTATGGCCACATGTTGCAAAGTAATCAAAACAGAAACAAAAGACTTAACAGATTATTTGGGAAACTTTTTCTCTAAAATACTGATATAACTGTTTCAGTGGCTTTTACTGATACAGCTGTATGTGTCATACAGCTACTTAGGAGGCTAGGCAAGAGAATCATAATTGCCTGGGCAAATAAATAGCAAGACCTCAACTCAAAACTTAAAAGTTGAATACATGGGCTGGGAATGTCACTCAGTTTTAGAATGCCCTGGGCTCAGTCCCTAGTATAACAGTGTAGGAGACAGAATACAGCTGAAACCATAGGGCCTGTGTAAAGGCAGCATGAGGTGAATGTCTAAAACACACAAAAAGAAAAAAATCCAGATTCATATCCCAGGTCTTTTATTGAACTGTCATTTTACTTTTAGCACATGATAGACTGCTGTGAGTTTCTGGGGCTTTTGTGCTGAACTACGTTTCCAGTCTCTTGATTTTTTTTTTTTTTTTTTTAAATTTTTACTTTGAAACAAAGTCTTGCTTAGTCAATAAACTGCCTAAGATGGGCTTGAATTTGTGACTCTTCTCCCTCAACCTTCCAGAGGTCTTCATTCCTAGCATGAGAGATGAGAAAATTTTACAAAAAGGAATAATTAAATCTAATTTATTTGTCTACAAAAATTGGTTACTGTGAGTCTCAAATAACATGTACCAACTGACTTTTATCCCTGCTCCCCCTTTTTTTTTTTTTTGTGGTACCGGGAATTGAACTCAGGACCTTGTGCTTGCCAGGCAAGCCCTTATTCTACTGAGCTATCTCCCCAGCGTTCATTCTTCCTTTAAGTATTTTGAAACAGGTTCTTGCCATATGGTTCAGATTGATCTTCAAGTTACTGCAGCTCAGGTTAGCCTTGAACTCCAGGCAGTCAGCTCTTGCCTCAGCCAACAAAGTGCTTTAGGAGACTAAAGCAGGAACATTGTTCATGCTCATTGCTCATGTACAACTTGAGCAATATAGCAAGATAACTGTCTCAAAAACATGGGGGTGGGGCTAGCCAGAAATGATAGTGCACACCTATAATTCCAGCACTTGGGAGGCTGAGGCAGGAGGAGCACTGCAAGTCTGTGACCTGCCAGGGCCACAAAGTAAGTTTAAAGCCAGCCTGAACGGCACAGTGAAATCCTGCATCAAAAAAGAGGGAGAGAGGGAAGAAGGGAGGGAGGGAGGGAGGGAGGGAGGGAGGGAGGGAAGGAAGGAAGGAAGGAAGGAAGGAAGGAAGGAAGGAAGGAAGGAAGGAAGGAAGAAAGGTAGATGACATACCAAAAAACTAAACAGTAGAACCAAAGATATCTTCAGAAAAACAACTGAGGCAATTTACCATTACTGAGCTTCTGAATCAGTTTTATTCTAAGTTAGCAATAAAAAGGGTGATAAATCATGCTAGCAAAAAAAAATTCATGAAATATCTATTGGTGGTTTTGTCTTTTTGTTTTTTGTCCTGGGAATTGAACTCAGGACCTTGTGCTTGTCAGGCAGGTGCTTTTGCTGCTTATCTCTCCAGTCCTGAAATATCCAATAATATCCTTAACAGGAATATGTGAAAATTTTGTAAGTACCATTGTGCTTGGAAACTGGACACAGTAGCAAATGCCTGTACAATACCTTGGTTCACAGTTTATTCCATAATTCTGATTGCAACCAGATTGCCAGAATCATGGGATGAATTAGGAGAACAGGATTGTGGAAAGAATTAATTATATTAACTAGGGTTCCTGGAATTATTATCTGGAATTATACCAGATACTTGAGAGCTAAGGAAGTAGGGTTGCCAGCTTGAAGGTAGTTAGGGCAATTTAGCAATATAAAATAAAAAGGGAACAAAATATAGCTCAGGGGTAAAAGCACCAGTGTCCAGTCCCCAGTATGTTTGTATGTAGGTGTAAATAAATGCACATGCTTGTGAATGTTGACTATATAAATTGATAAATATTAATGGTTTAATATACTTTTTTTCCTATGTGCCATTTTTAGACCCAAAATATGCCTCTTTTGAGCACATGATGTTGTAGATTCATCATCTCTCATGTTTGAAACATGCCATAGTATTGACATAGTTAGGTATGGTGACTCATGCCTATAATCCTAGCACTCTGGGGGCTGAGATAGGAAGATAATGTTTGAGCCCAGCCTGGGAAATTATCAGTGTCACCAAGATATTGTCTCAAAATGAAAAAGTGTGATGTTGTGTACCTGTAATCCCAGTACTTGAGAGGCTGAGATAGGAAGGTCACTGAGCTCAAGGCCAGCCTGAACTGCATAGGGTGACTCTGTCTCCAAAAAAAAAAAAAAAAAAAGCTGCTCGAAAGAAAGGGAAGGGGAGGCAGGCAGGGAAGGAGGGAAGGAAGGAGGAAAGAAGGAAGGAAAGAAAAGTGTAGCTCAGTGTGAAGGCCTTGGGCTTAGTTCTCCAGTATTGTGATACATACATATGTAGATTAGTTTTGTGGTTTTTAAAAAATTGTATGCAGCCTTCTGTGGTTTAGTGAATTTACTTTAGGACTAGTTGTCATTGTGTCCCTTTTTTTTTTTTTTTTTTCATTTTGATTCTTTTCTTTGACACATCCTTAACTGTAGTTCAGGCTGCTCTTGAAGTCATTGTAGAGCCCAAATTGGTCTTTTCATCCTTGCCACTTGAAAATACTGGGATTACAGGTGTAACCACCATTCCGCTGTCATGATGTCTTTTGACAGATCTCCGCTGTCATGATGTCTTTTGACAGATCTCTTAGAGTATCAGAATGTTGTCGTCTGTTGTTGGGTAGATCTGTTAAAAATTTCCCTGCAGGGGCTGGGGAGATGGCTCAGTAGAATAAGCACTTCCCTGGCAAACACAAGGGTCTGAGTTCAATCCATGGTTCCGCAAAAAAAAAAAAAAAATCCCTGTAATTTTGATCTTTAGGGGGTAGGTATTTTGAGACAGGGTTTCATTATGTAATTCAAACTGGCCTTGTACTCATTATGTAGCCAGGCTGACCTTGAACTCACAGTGATCCTCCTGACTCTGGAGTGCTTGGATTACAGACATATGCCACCACCCCAGGCTTTGTTTCTTTTGTCTTTGCTTCTTGGCTTCATAGCAGTATGATTCTTCTTTACAACCTTAATGTATTTTTTCTACAGTTGCACTTAAAGCATAATTAAAACTATTTCCTACTAATTATTTGTCATTGACTTTAATATAGTAGTCCTTTTCTTAACCCCTCTTTCTCTTCTCTCCCTCTCTCCTCTAGCATGCACCCCTACCCTATAATTATTTTGCTTCTCCCCTCCCCTAAAGTTTATTCGAAAGAATAAAAGTGAAAAAAGAATATGAGTGAAAAATGGTGAGAGTCAGCCTATCTTTAGTAATGCCAGAGCTGGGGAGACAACTCTGTATCATAAGCACCTGCCTGGCAAGCATAAGGTTCTGAGTTTGATGCCCAGTACAAAAAAAAAGAAAAAAGAAAAGAAAAGAATCTAGGAATATCAGTTATGTCCATATATTGACTAGTCCTTTCCACTTCTTTTCCATTGTAAAGTTCCATATGCCATCAGCAGCCTCATATTTGTCTTTTTTTGAAGTGTATTTTAGGGAAGGGTCTACAGGGTGTTCAGAGTCTGTTTACTAGATCAGACTCAGTGGTCTGCCTGTTTACAGCCTCCCAAGAGCTGGGTTTATAGGCATGAGCACCACTACACCCAGTCTTAATTGCCACCTCAGTGTGCCACGGGGTGGGGCGGGGGTTGAGGGAGGGAACCCTGGCTCCTGCACCTGCTTACAGGTGCTTTAATCTACTGATGAGCTATTTGGCTGGCCCTTTGTCATTGATAGTAAGTATTTAAGATTTCTTTAGTCCTGGACATTGTTGAAAAACATGTTTTTGGGAGCTGGAGAGATGGCTCAGTGGAATAAGTGCTTCCCTGGCAAGCTCAAGGGTCTGAGTTCAATCCCCGGTTCCACAAAAACAAACAAACAAAAACAAAAAACATGTTTTTGGTCTTTTGGGCAAAATATTTTTTAAAAACATCAAAGCTAGACTAATATGATATACATCTATAATCCTGTTACTTTGAGAGGGTGAGGCATGTGGTCACAAGTTCAAGTCTACCCTGAGTAACTTAGCAAGACTCTGTCTCAAAACAAAAAATAAGGAAAGGACTGGGAATGCAGCTCACCGTGAAGGCCTTGGGTTCAGTCAATTTTCAATCCAAAAATAAAACAAAACAAAATTTTAAATCAGAAGAAATTTAGGAAATAGTAATTTTCTTGATAACTTTATTGTCAGAGTTCTAGTTTAGGGGAACGGGGATATAGCTCAGTGGCACAAGAGCCTGCCTGGTAAGTGGAAGGTCCTGAGTTCAATTGCCAATGCCCCCACCCCCACCCCGCGCACACAAAAAAAGTTATAGTTTAGGATATAAGTCAGTGTTTTTATAATGTCTCCCCCCCCCCCCCTTTCAGGGACCCATCTGTGTCTAAGTCTGTAGAACGAATCTTTAAAATCTGGGAAGACAGGAATGTATACCCAGAAGAAATGATCATGGCATTGAGAGAAGCTTTGAGTAAGTATCTTTCCTCTCCTCAGAGAAACATTTAAGCCAGTCGTTATTTTAAAAAGAAAAAAAAAATACGTGTGTGTGTGTGTGTGTGTGTGTGTATAAAGACAGACATGATTCTCTTGTACAATAATAAAAAATAAAGCTTAGATCTGTCTGTTTGTTTTAATGAGGTATTTTTTTAAAATCAAATGTTTGAATTAAAAATTTAAAGGGAATTGGTTTTGGAGGCAGGGTATTAGATTTTGGTTTTATTGACCAAAAATGTCAAGCATGTTAAATAATTATTTTTATACCTTTGCTTTGTTTCAAACTGTTCATTAATTGTATTTAATAAATAATGTTCTCTTACTCTTGGAGAATTTTTAGGTAGTTTTCACTTAGCTCTTCAGTGCTAAGTATATTAGTGGTCTTTAGACTCTTTCTTTTTTGTTTTTTTGCGGAACCGGGGATTGAACTCATACTCTTGCGCTTGCTAGGGAAGCGCTTATTCCACTGAGCCATCTCCTCAGCCCCTAGACTCTTTCTTAAATCTATTTTTTTTTTAAATTTTTGCTTTATTGAATAGTATAGTCTTTACTTTTTTTTTTTTTTTTGCGGAACTGGAGATCGAACTCAGGCCCTTGTGCTTGCCAGGGAAGCGCTTATTCTACTGAGCCATCTCCCCGGCTTTAGGCTCTTTCTTGATTCAGATTTGCAGTGAGTAGTATACCTGTTTTTTTTGTTGTTGTTGTTTGTTTGTTTGTTTGTTTTGCAGAACCGGGGATTGAACTCAGATCCTTGAGTTTGCCAGTCAAGCGCTACCTGTTTTATTTTTAAGTAATTTAGTTCTTCGTATTTGATGCAGTAATTATTATATCATTGAGTAGAATTTGGTATAATTTGCTTCAATGACTATTATGTGACTAGAAATTTGCCTTTAAGATAATATCATCTAAGAAGCTGTTAAATTCATTTGAATTTGTTAACTGGTAGTTTTGAGCTTCTTTCCCTATTCTTTTCAGGGTTGGTTATTTCATTGATTATAGAATTATCTTTATTTGACAGCTTCTTAGATCTGGTAGGTGTTTCTTTTTTATATTTATAAAAATGAAAGAAAAGAAAAAACAACACAGTCTTGGATTACCTTTTTTTCATGCTACAACTTTGGCACTGAAGTGGACAGACAACAGCTTCCCATAATGCCAGATTGCAAAAACTGAAATGTTTTCCAGGTACCACTTTCAAAACTCAGAAGCAGCTGAAAGAAAATCTGAACAAACAACCGAATAAGCAGTGGAAGAAATCACAAAGTAAGGATCAAAATCTCAACTAATATAAAATTACCTCCTCTTTTTGGAGCAGAAGAAAATTTAGACCTTTGACATCGTACCTGGCAATAAACCACGGGCAAGCCTGTGTTTTCCAGGCCTGGGAGGCTTTCAGTGACTTACACTAAACAAACCATCATGAAGTTCTTTCTTTAAAAGCCACTATTAAACAAAGGACATGTAGCAGAAGGGTTAAATTGAGTGAAGATTCAAGAGTAGTTGGGGATTGAAAGAAGACCAAAAAAAAAACCTCTTGATAGTGTCCAGGCTAATTCTCAGGTTCAAAGATATATGAAGTTAGAGGCAGCTGGCATTAAACAACAGATCTGAAGACGAGACTAGGAATTAAGAAGCATTTCTGTGAGAGCCATGGAATCCTTCAGATTTGGGGATCCACTCTGCCAGATTAGACATGGGCCTCAAACCTTGGCAAGAAGCTCATTCTCTTAACTGGAGCTCCTGTTGTGTTTATCCCATTTACCAGCATGAGACCAAGGGAGTGGAGTACTGCATGTGATAGGCTGCTATGGGCAAACTGAGAAATATTGAGAGAGCTTGAAGTGTGGAGGGAACAAAGTAAAAGACAGAATTGGGAGGTGAACCAAGACACTTGGGATGGTTTTGCTCCATCAAGCGCATGCTACTCACCATGGTTAAGGGCGTCTGCTGATATCCTTGTTTATAAGTTGCATGCTTAGCAACAAGAGTCATCATTTCAGCCCAAGTTCAACCACAGTGGTCATTTATTTAGATTTTTTTTTTTTTTTTTTTTTTTTTTGCGGTACCAGGGATTGAACTCAGGACCTTGCACTTGCCAGGCAAGTGCTTATTCTACTGAGCTATCTCCCTGGCCCTAGAATTCTTCTTGCCTATTTTTGCTGTGAATTGAGCCAGCACAAAAGAAATGCAAGGCTAAATACATGGGAAAAAAGCTCATGTTTATAGATAATTTTCTACAGCCAGTTTTAGGATTAATTGGATATCCTGTTCCTGAACAGTCTTACTTTGAGGTGTTGAGACCCTCTCCTATTCAGTCAAACTAGAGAAAGAAGGTACTTCATGTAGCTCAGTATCTCCTAACCAATTGTAGGATATTATGACTTCAAAGGTCTGTTGGAGGTAAGTGGGTTAGGCCTATCTAAATAGCATATTTTTATATTGACCATTTGTAGGAGTGTTTAAATTTCATTGTACATTCTTTATTCTAGGAACTATATTATGACTTAAATGTGCATGTCATATGTTCAGAGTACACTCAACTATACAGCCAAAGTTTTTCCTGAATTTAATCAACTCTTTGTGTCTGTAATCTTAATGACTTCTTGTTTAATTCCAACAGCATCTACAAATCCAAAAGCTGCTCTCAAGTCTAAAATAGTTGCTGAATTCCGAGTAAGTTACAGATGTTAAATATAGCAAACTGTTCTTTGCCCCTTTTAAGTTAGTTTTCTGTGTAGTTCAGTAAGATTTAACAGCTGAGTTCTGTGTTAACGTTTGCCAAGAAGACCCATTTTTCTTTGAAGTTCTTTTAAATTAGAATATTCTTAGGATGAACATGATTTCATTAGATTAATTAGTTTAATTAAAGTGATATATAATCAAAATCTAATGAGAATATAAATGGGCCTCTTTCTCTCTTAACTCTGTATTCATACATTAATTTTGAATAATTAAGGAAGTGTATAATTAAAAAAACAGGTTTGATAAGAGAATTGGCCTTGTTTTTTGGTTTTTGTTTTTGTGGTACTGGGGATTGAACTCAGGACCCTGCGCTTGCCAGGCAAGTGCTTATTCTACTGAGCTATCTCCCCAGCCCTGATATTCTTGACTGAGAAAGAATAAAGGGTTTTTTCCCCTTTCTGGGTTTTATGAGGCTTTAGTCTTTTCTTCATTAATAGGGAGAGGTGGAAGAAGATTGATCTTTTAAATGAAACATGACTCTGATCTGTGTTCAGTCTCAGGCCCTCATTGAAGAGCTACTGCTCTACAAGCGCTCAGAAGATCAGATAGAATTGAAGGAGAAACAGCTGTCGACTATGAGGGTGGATGTGTGCAGCACAGAAACTCTGAAATGCTTAAAAGGTAATATTTACATCCTTGAACAAAACCACGTTTTTCTTTAGATCCAATATTGTCAGGTAGTTAGACTAGCTTACCCCATAGCTTACAGTCACTGTAATGTGCTGTAAAATCTTACTCTTTTTTCCTTACATTGTAAATTGTATATAACATACTAATAATTTATTAACATGTGCTCTTTATGAAGTCAGAAATTTTACTTATTCATTGGTGTATCCCAGAATTTAGAGTAGTCTTTAGCACATAAAAGGCATTTGGTTCATTGTGGCATCAATTTTTTTCCTATACCATGCTTTAAATTGAACAGATGTTATCTGATTTAATCCTTAAAACGATCCAGAAGCATACTAAAAATCTCAGCCATGTCTTGGCATGTTGTTTCGTTGTCTTGTTTTGAACCAGGGTCTCACTATGCAGCCCAGGCTGGCAGGGAACTCACAGCAATCCTTCAGCCTCAGTTTCCCAAATGCTGGGATTATAGGTGTGTACCACCATACCTGGCTAAAATCTTACTTTTTTTTTTTTTTTTAATCTTACTCTTATGCACAAGAGATTTAAGGCTTCATAAGGAAATAAGTAATTGGCTCAAGTTATACAGCTGATAAGAAAAACCAGGCTGAGGTGTTGTGAGTTCGAAACCAGCCTGGGTCATAAAGTGAGCTCGAGGCCAGTCTGAACTGCATAGTGAGACCCTGTCTCAAAAAGAAAAAAAGAAAAGCCAAAATTTACTACCATATTCAAAGTCATATTACAGCAGTCACTGGGAAAGAAATGCATATTTGATTACTAAAGATATGTTTGGGCCAGGGAGATAGATAGCTCAGTAGAATAGGCGCTTGCCTGGCAAGTGCAAGGTCCTGAGTTCAATCCCTGGTATTGAAATAAATAAATAAATAGATAGATAAATAAATAAATGTGTGTTTCATCCAGCACTCCCAGGAAGATCTCAGTAAGGTCAAGGCCACCCTAGGATACGGAAGGAAAGCCTATCTCAAACAAACAAACAAAACAAAACAAGGAATCCAAAATTAAATAAAATACAAGAATTAATTACAGCTGTCTTTTAGTAAATGTTCACCATGTGTCTGACTTCATATGTAGTATCTAGCTGGGCATGGTGGTGTATACCTATAATCTGTTGGGAAACTGAGACAGGAGGATCACCATGAGTTTGAGGCCAGCTTGAGCTATGTACCAAGACCTTGTCTCAAAAATATAAATAAATAAATAAATAAATAAATAAATATCTGTTTCAGGTAGGAAATAGCATTTAGTATGATACACATAGAGATTATTTTACTTTTCTCAACCTTGTTTTCTCATCTAAAAGATATATATTGTCATCTTCTGTAGGGCACAAACTATGGTCTAAGTAAACAGAATTGAGCCTCATCCTGTTGCTTGCTTATTTACTTACTTGATTGATTGATTGATTGATTGTCTGTTTAAAAAAAATTATTTATTTATTTGTGTGTGTGTGTGTGTGTGTGTGTGTGTGTGTGGGCCAGCTCAGCCCACCAGGGGGCAGGGCTGGCTGGCATGTGGTGCTGGGGGATTGAGCCGCGGTCCCTGTGCTCTGCTAAGCTTGTTCTAAGTAGGTGCTTTAGACCACTAGCCATCTCACCAGCCCCTGATTGTCTTTTTTGAGATAGGGTTTCACTATACAGTTCAGACTGGCCTTGAACTCACTTTGTAGTTCAGGCTGGCCTTGACTCACAGCAGTCCTCCTGCCTCAGCCTCCTGAGTGCTGGGATTACAGGTGTGTACCACCATGCCTGGCTTTATCTTTCTATTCCTAAACAGCAGTGTGGCCACAACTTTGTAAAAAAAAAAAAAAAAAGAAGAAGTAGTTGATGAAAAACTTGTTACCACTGTCCCCCACTGCCCACCCCCCACTGTGGTACTGGGGATTGAAACCAGGGCTTTATGGATGCTAGGCTAGTCCTAACAAATTTCGTTTAGTTGAACAGGTATGTGTATGTATGTTCGTTACTGGGGATTGAACTCCGGTCCTTCGCAGCAAGCTGTATCCCTACCCTTTTTTACTTTTTTTTATTTTAAGACAGTTGTTAAATATCTAAGACAGGGGTCAAACTTGTAATCCAAAAAAAAGTAATCCTCCGCTGGGGAGATAGCTCAGTAGAATAAGTGCTTGCCTGGCAAGTACAAGGTCCTGAGTTCAATCCCTGGTACCACCAAAAAAAAAGTAATCCTCCTGTCTCAGTCTCCCAGAGTGCTGGAAATGTGGGCATGCACCATCATACCCATCTTGAATTTTCTTTTGTCTTAATTGTAAGTATATTCATCTTCTCTGTGGCAGATTCACAGGAATCTGTTTTGTGAAGAATTTCATTAAACTGTTTCATTATTTTGTAACTTGGAGAAGTTTTAAGGTAAAAACTTGAAGCTAAGAATATTACTAAGGCAGCAAGAAGAATATCACAGGAATGGATTTTCCCAAAAAGTAGGAATTTTATTTATTCTTTTTTTATCTTAAACACTTTTTCTGTTGTTTTAGATAAAACAGGGGGAAAGAAGTTTTCTAAAGAATTTGAAGAGGCAAGCTCTAAGCTGGAAGAATTTGTGAACGGATTAGATAAACAGGTGAAAAATGGACCCTCACTAACAGAAGCCCTGGAGAATGCTGGCATTTTCTATGAAGCACAGTACAAAGAAGTAAAAGTGGTGGCTAATGTAAGTAATAATAATTATAGCGCCGGCGAGACAGCTCAGTGGACTAAGCACCTGCTTTGGCAAGTACAGGGACCAAGGTTTGATCCCTAGTCCTGCATGCCTTGCCAGCCCTGCCCCTGGGGCATGCTAAACCTGCAACCTGAGTCCAGGTGTGATGGCACATGCCTGTAATCCCAGTGCTGGGGAGGTTGAAAACAAAAGGATCACTATAAGTCCGAGCTGTGTGGCAAGACCCTGTATCAAATACGTAAATGAAAGAAAGAAAAAAGTAATAATTACAGCTGTCTCATAGTGAATGTTCACCATGTTTCTGACTACATGTACTGTTGAGGCCAGTCTAGGCTATTTAGTGAGTTCAAGACCAGCCTGAATTATGTAGCATGAGACCCTACCTCAAAAACAAATAAAGAACCCAAGCTTATACTGTGTAATTCTGGAAAGATAAATAGCATTGTCTACATCTCACAGATAGAGAAAATGTTTTATATACCTGGTAGTATGCACCTGTTGCTACAAGTTCAAGGCCAGTTTAAACTACAAAGTTGGGGCTGGAGAGATGGCTCAGTGGTCTAAAGCACCTACTTGAAACAAGCTTGGCAAAGCACAGGGACCGCGGTTCGATCCCCAGCACCACATGCCAGC